AGGGAATGGTCAAATACCTGTTAGTAGATCTGCTTGTCTCTTGTGGCAACAGCGGTAATTTGACGTTTTCAATGTCTTTGTCTTGTTGAATGTAAGCGCTGCCGACTCTGTGAAAATTGTCCAGCCGCAAGCGAGATAACTTGTCCTACGGATAAAATAATCATAGTGCGTGTCAGAAGTTCTCCGAACGGCTCATTTCTTGAACAGTGTCTTCTCTGCAGGACCATGGAAACCCCTGCATAGCTTAATGTCGGGGCGTTCATTCAGAAAGACAGTGCTGTTTATATTACAAATTTGCAACAGACATGAAATCGACCAAGTTATGGTCGGAAGTCTCAGGAAACGTGTTTGGGGTCTGAAATCACGCCATATTTCAGACACCTAAGATATTGTAATTATGGACACATATCTTCGCAGTACGCTAAAATTTCTGTTAGTTCGAGAAGGGGTTTAATTCTTTGTGTGTTTGTGGTTTCTTTAAGTTGTAAATCAGCGTCCGTGTTTGAGGTCAGTCAGTAAGACACTTGTTTATATCATTGGATTTTGGGATTCTTTTTTTTAGGGGGGTGGGGGGTAGCTTTTTACTCTTATTTTTCGCAATACATAGCTTGTTCGGTGGCCTCAAGCATGTTCTCTCTCCAATTCAAAAACTAGTCAAGGGTTTAACTCGGAAATCACATAGGAGACCTGAATCCGATTTCCGAGTAGGGAGAAGATTCTTATCGAGTTTCTCAGTTTTTCTGCTGGGATGTACATGTATCCCTCTCGGCGTGGGTTAGCCCTGATAGGCAGGGTCGGAAGTCTGCCTCCTGAGTGGTCTAAATGATGTCGATGAGGGCATAAAAACACCTACATTATTAAAGAAAAAAACAGCAAACCTTGAGTTCTCGGGTGACGTGAGTGCTGACGGGAGTGAACTCTAAGTCCGGGAACCTGGAGCGGACGGTGTACATGAAGTCCCTGTGTAAAGAAGGCTGGAGGACTGTGTGCAGGAACTGGATCTGAGTGTACGAGCTACGCCGGAGTAGGTCTTGTAAAAAGGCACAACGCTGGGGACGGTTTTCGTAATTATTTTATTTATCTGTTTAGTTTTTGTTAGTCAAGAAAATGGAATCCCGTCGAAACAGTCAGAGTTATATTCATATATA